GCCTTTACAGTTGGACTTTGCCAAGCTGAAGTACACAATTGTAGCAAGCCAGTCCTGTAGACTCTAGACCCAGACAACAACCTGTCCGCCACGCACAGACAAGACAAAAGCTGCTAACAAACCTGTGAATACATGACCTACAACCCTGTCCCCTTACAATCCTACAGGGGATCACAGGAGTAATTTCCACCCGATGTGTTTTTATTGTATTGTAGCATTGTAGTTTAGTTCGGGTTGGAAATTACTCCACCGGAGTTCCATTAAGAAAGAGACGTCTTGTCAATGAGGTTCTGGAGGGAAGTTGTTACCAAACGTTTTTCTTCCTGAAGCAAGGAGTTGCTAAACAACATCAAAATGTGGTTCTTGGAGTTCTTGGATGCTCGTGGGATTTCGATGGGGTCTGGCACTGTTGAGCTTGAGGATTTCCTTGCGAAGAAGAAGCCGTTGGACTCGCAGGATCACAAGGCACCGCACCCATTGGTTCACATTTTGGTTGGGTTGACAGAGATGTTGATGGCAAGGCGGTTGGAGTATGGTTTGTTTGTCCTCTCACAGCTCTACCAGGGATCTGTTGATTACAATGTTAGAGCCATATATAGCCGTAGCAAATTAACAAGCGGGTATCCTAAACAGCGTGTTTGCTCAAAATATGGAGCAATTGAGCAGTGCCATGCAGTGCCCAAGTCGTCGAACGCCCTTCTGTCTGTATGAATATATTATATATATATACACAAGCAGAGGTCATATTGATAGACTGTTTAATCCTTGCAGCAGAGCTCTGCAGTGCATAAGGTCGTGTTTTCGTAAGTAACGCCTGATATCCCTTTACATGAGCCAAAGGAGTGGGTGAAAGGACTCAAGGAAACCGCATAAGGACATTGTCCGGCGCTTGGGCCAACGCCGATGTTTCGACGCGGAAAAGCGCGTGAATTGTTCATCAAACTATGGTTCAAGTCGAATGTTGTTGGAGTCGCACCTTGTTTGAGTGACACTGGTGAAGAACACAGGATCGAAAAAACCACCACCTGAACTATATAGCCTTTAGATTTGGATTCTAGACTCTGGCCTAGTTGGCCCGTGCAGAACTTGGCACACTCCCGCAGGAAACAAACTTTGGCCTAAGAACAGGTTCAGATGTGAGTACTGAACAGTCCGACTGAGTCTTTGGCAGTTTGGATATGAGATTTCACGAAAGGTAGCCTGGTAAGGACTACCTTGAGTTTGCTTTGCGAAGCAAAGGGGCTGGCTTGAGAGCCTGCTCGGGACTAAAGATTGGTAGATCAATGTCTAAGACCCCCACCCCCCCCCCCCCCCCCCCCCCCCCTCCCATGTGATGATTTATTGATAAATCAATTCATTCGACCCCCCCTCCCCCTCCCCTCCCCTCCCCTCCACTCCACTCCCCTCCACTCCCCTTCCCGTCCCCTTCCCTCGTCGCCAGCACTACTAGCATTCTGGACACACCATCACACCATAAGGTGCAGTCATGCGCTTAGCAGTCACAGCAGCACGACGCTGGCCATGAGGTTGCGCAATACAGCACGAACCCTGCACAATGAGGTTGCGCAATGCGGCTTCGATGCCGCGCGTGCGCGCCCGGCAGCCTGACACAGCGCGTGCTGCGTTCACAGACCATATTGCTCGACACCAACGAGCATCGATGCAACACAGCCTCTCCGCAAAGCCCTGTGGAGAAACCTCTCGCTTCGCGGAACACCATTCGACTCAGCCTTATACCCTAGCGGGCGAAATCTTACCGCATCGTGGAGCACCACTACACGGCTATTTACGTGCCCTCCCATCAGCCACCCACCATGGCGTGACGTCCATCCCTGGCAGTACCGGCCGCACCCCTCCAGCACTGTCCTTGCAAGAGGGTTGGTCACTGCGGCTTCGACGCAACGCGTGCAGGCCTGTAATCCTGACACAGTGTGTGCAGCTGTGGGACCATAGCTGGTACACATGCGAGCGTTTACGCACTGCGACTTTTACGCGCGCCTGTTTTCACACACCTTTGCACAAACGAGCGTCGACGCAACGCAGCCTCTCTGCAGAGCCGTGTGGCGCAATCTGACCGCAACGGTGTTCCTCTTGAGCCTTCTTGTGCTCTCTGGCTTTGTTGCTTTCATCCATGATTGAGCGAGGGGCACGTTCCGGAAACACCGGAGACAGCCCCTCACCAGAAACGGTCCCGACAGCTACCCGGTCCGTCTCTACCTTTCGTGTTTCCCCGCTCAAGTGTTTGAATGGCTTTGTCAGGGGATCACGCCACTGGGATATGCCATTGGCGCCAACCGAATAGCTGTGGTGAAGCTGCTTCTGGACAGCCGCGCCAATCCTTATGCCGTGGACAGCTCTGGCAATAGCGACTTGGAATGAAATTGAATTGGTTTTCCTAGGCTCTCATGTCACAGTTTGCAGTGTTCATTTTGAATAAATCTGGGAGAAAGTGAGGATCAAGATGGGTCAAGCGACAGGTCACCTGTCTGAAGAATTTGAAGGTTCCTCACAAGACTCTTGAAACCTGTCCATCCTGCAATCATTGGGCACCAGGTGGCTTGCACTATGCCGCCGGCTATGGCCGCAAGGTATCCTGCAATCGTTGGGGGGCCGGCACGGCATGCGAACAGGGATGGCACAGGGAAATGAAACCATGGCGATCAATGAAACCACTTTGATACATTTTCAGGCACTGATGGGCAATGAATCATACGAGGAACCCAAGAGTTTGGTCAGTGCCGCTCCGTCAACGAGCCCCAACAAAGCAAGAGAAGCATCCAACATCAGTCTGTTCGTTTCAAAGCAAGAGCACGCAGGAGCTTTTGGAATATCTCTTGAAGGTTGGAGCCAATGCCACTTGGCCAACACTTATTTGTTGGTTTTGCTTTGTTTTTCTTCATCACGGATTATGTACCTCGTACTTTTAATGGGATGATCGCTTCTATGCATAACCACCTTGCTCAGGTCTCTCAGGCCAACTCGCAGGGCCAGACCCCCATGGCAGTCGCAACGCAGAATCAACAAGAGGCCGAGCAACCGGGCCGCTCGAGGTGGTCAGACGAAGGTCCTCTTGAATTTAAATACCGTGTGGGGTGTGGGGGTCTCATAGAGTATGCAAGTGCAGATGAATGGGCTCAGGAGGCCCTAAACAGTTTTAGCTTCTTCTATGCAGCATGACATTCAGCCCCCACCCCATGAATGGTGTTCTGGAAGTAAGAACGGCCTCGAAAAACGCCTGGGGAGCCCAGGGGAAGAAATGCCAGATATCTCTGACATCTCAGGGGATGTATTTCAGGGAACCCTTACTTGTTTAGAATTGGTCGTTTAGTAGCAACACTCATAGCTGCAACATATCAGTGGGAGCAACCGTCACAGCATGTCAGCATGTCACAGCATTCATGCAGCTTCAAAGAGGGGATGCGGAAACTGCGAACATGCAAGCCCAATAAATGGCCACATTGTCACAGTTCATGATGGTAGCCAGCGCCACATCACCCAGCGCTTGGGAGCAGCCAAGTGGCCATGCAAACCATTGAGGCCTGCATCCAGATCTTGAAGGCTCACGGAGCACAAGCCTAGGTGCAGCCACCGCTCTGACGGGCAGCTACCGCTTGCTTGAGTAGTTGTGTAGTGACTGGATGCAACAAAAGTATATACTGTAGAGATCTTTTTGAAGCTGTTCAAAGGTTCTGAAACCCAACCTGTGAAGGATGGGGGCTCAACAAACAGCTTCTTAGAGATATGAGATATGTTTGAAGTTCTTCAAGACATGTGTCTATCCGGGTTGTTCAGGCTGATTTCTTTGGCCAGTTGCTGAATCAATGAAGCTGCAAGAGTAGAGGAACATGGGAACATCAGGGAAGCAACAGTTGAGCCTTACTTACACTTGCTGGAAGCAAACATGCCCATTAAGGAAAGAGTGGATCTGGATTCTGGATCTGTGTTTTGCGATCCGAAAGAATGGGGCGGGTGAGACATGGTGAGTCTATCCTTCACGGCTGGAAGACCGAATCTTACCTGCTGAACCTGCAAGTCCTTTGCCGGGTTGATCAGGTCTATGAGCTGCGGAGATCTCGCTGCGTGGGTTCTGAATCCGCGGTGGATGCAGCGGGACGGCGGAACATGACTCTGAGTCTCACCTTTCAAGCAGTGAGTGTGTCGAAACAAGACCAGGCAGGGACCCTTGGCCACCTTAAATAATTCATCTTCGCGTTAGAACGTCAAGTTACTACTGTACTTATATATTATATATATACACTAAAAAGTATTACATTAGACGCTGACTGACCTGCCCAATCTTCAATTACCCTATGTCTTTTAATGGCAACTGGTCTTGCGATACAGTCATTTTTTTTCAAGACCTCTCGAAAGTGTCACTTGCACCGAGAGTGGAAGACGTGGATGTCCTTTAGACAACACCAACTACGAAGAACGCCAAGCATGCTGTTTCTAGTGAAAAGGAGCACATTTGCTTGCAGGTTGTCGGGGGAAGGACAGGATAGGATCCATCACTTATCACGTGGTGCTCCACACTCCCTTTGACATGCTTCTACTAACAATAGAAATTCTGCAAACGATTGGGATTATGTAATTTGATTGCTCTATTGCCAGGTCATATTCTAACTCGCACTGTCATGATTGTAAACATCATTTGTGGCTGTACAGAGAGCACAGGATCCAATTACCATAATGGTTGGGGAGGTTTTGACGTCTTTGTAACCTAGCTTGATGTCATGAATCATGCTGCAGGCCTGGTTCAAAAACCAGACCCTCATTCGGTCAGAGAAGCAAGTATCCTGGCACCTGCCAGTTGTTACCGGTCCTTTGTATTTGTTTCATATGCCTTCTGCGTCGTGATACAAGTTTAGTTTTGCACAGTGCCTGCCTGTGAAAGTAATTCTACTGAACACAGGACTTGCCAGTATTTACTGTGGAAGTTGACTCTTGTGTGGAGACACTCCCCATACAGAATATGTTGGTACACAAATTCTGCACTGAAGGCTGGTGAATCTGCGGCAGCAAACTCAGTCCTTTTTCCAGAAACTGACGTTGCCACACACAAGTACATTGGTCCTTTGCGTTACAATTGGTGGCTATTCACAGGCACAATTTGTAGTGTGGTTAGGACTCTGCCTTTTGGCAATGCTGGAGTTGTGGGGAATATAATATAGCGATGTTTAAATCATGGAACAGGGAGAATTTGATGGGTTTTTGTGTTTTTAAGCGAAGTGTTTGGACCCCAAATCCCTTTTTCCCAATTGGAACTCTTTTCATGCCATGCATTTGACTAAGGAGGAGAAAGCAAAGGCTGCACCCAAAGCTGAAGCAAAGGCCAAGCCTGAAGCAAAAGCAGCTGCAAATAAAAGCCAGCGCCATAGACCAGCTATGGTGAAGGTACGATTTGCTCGAGGACAGATTTGCATTGTACTCTTGGCATGAACGTTCTGAATGGTAGATCGTGTTACCGTGTTTCACAACCAGAAAGACTTCTCCACAAGACCAATCGCAGAGGATGCGCTTCTTTAAATCAGGTTTGTATGCCATCTCTCCTCAGGTCCAGAAGCCATCGAAAGAGATGAGCGTCCGAGTCTAAGGTGACCCTAGTGGAAGGTCCAGGCTCCGATCAAAGTCAAAAAGAAACAGAACTTCACCATCTTCACCTGGGTGTTTGCTTTTGACAAGATCTATATTTCTATAGACATATGTAGTGAGTAACTCTCATGATGGAAGAGAGATCGATGGACCTCCAAGGGTTGTCGTGCCCCATGAGCTTCTGCCTGCACTCCGGCTTCAGAGGCCTAGAAGCGAATTTCAAGAAGTATGAGCACCTTACAGATGAGGAGCTCAAAGAGGACTGGTTACGGTTAGAGACAACTCAAGCAGATCCGAATGTCCTGTTGAAAAAAGAACATCAAAACACCAAGCACATGTAGTTAGCCATTGTTCATTGCTTCAGAACTAAGAGAAGGGACATGTTTGAATGAATGCCACCAAGACGTGTTTGAGCTGTCAAGACAAGCACAGCTTCTCCCTCAAGTAAGGGTCGCGCAATCCCCGAACGGGGCTGATCGACGCCTGCGCCAGACCCTGCCGAAGAAGGCCGATGGGGGCTTTACTTCCATAGGCCGATGGGAGAAATCGATTTGATCGATTAGAGGGATGATCGATTAAGCAACCAAAAACTCGATGAGTCTCAATGAGCCTTAGCATTTGGTGTAAGTTCACATGCGTGTTTCTTTTGTTTGCTGTCACAAGCTTATCCTCCGGCAGGGCCATTGGGCGGAAGTTTCAACAAATTGACAAAGTGTGACTGATGGCTCCTGATGCTGTGATTTCTTTGTGTGAAATGTGTTGCAGCTGTTTGTTCATGTATTGAAGTGTACTGTAATGTGATATGGATGATTCATGAATGAAAGAGTGGGTGAGTAAGTGACAGACAGTTCTGAGCCCACAGCAGCCAAAAGCATCCCAAAGCTACTCCGCATACTACATGATTACTGTAGCTACAATTGCATTACAAGGAAGCTGCCAGAAGCTGTTGCCGTGCACGAAACTTGTACTGAGCAGTTGCCAGTTCTGAGCCTGGAGCTGCCAAAAGCTACTTCGCATGCTACATTTGCACTACCAAATCGTCAGTGCTGAACCCAGAGCTACAACAGGCTACTGAGCGCACTACTTTTGTACCACGCAGTCACCAGTTCTGAGCCCGGAGCTGCCAGCAGATACTTCGTGTCGGGGACCATTCTCGGTCTCCTACATTTGTAACAAATTTGCCGGTTCTCAGCCCCAAGCTGCACTTCGTGCACTGCACTTGCACCAAGTTGCCAAGTCTTCCTTGCGCAGCCCTGCCAGTGCAGCTACGATCCAAAGCTGCCTCGCGCAGCACCCATCGCTTGTTTGAGACTACCAGTGTTTGATACTACCCTTCGTGCTCTTTCCTTTATCGCGCAGACGAACACGTGCACGCTCACAGCAAATGTTCGTAGTTCGGAAGAGTCTTTTCAAAGCTTCCTTTGACTGCCGAAATGCAGTGCGCCTGGGGTGGAACACCTGTACTCTTTTGTGGTTCTGGGGTTCACCAGGCCAGATTGACGGTCAAACTTACATTCCCAGCAAAATTTGGGTAAAACAAATGCCTTAAGCTTGACCTTGACATTGGAATGTTGAACTGTTCCAAACCATAGCAAACCGCAAGAGATCCACAAGGGAGATCTTGAATGAGCCCTGTGGCAGCTGCAGTGGCCGTGCCCACAAATAATTTGCACTGGTCGTAGTTCATGTTCGACAGAAGACCCCGAAAGTGCTGTTCTGCGAGAGTTCTCTAGGAAGCATTGCAACAGGTGCCATGCTGCATGCCAGCGGACTTTGCCAATGCCTGAAGCGCGTTGAAGATCGGAATGGACATACTCACTGTGCTGGGTGCAAGAGTTAAGCTCCCCCACATGTTGGCCTTCTGAGACTTCTTCCACGTTATGGTTACCTCAAAAGGACCTTGAAAGGACCTTTGTGTCAAGAGAGGTGACAATAGGTGAAAGGACCTTGATCTCAAGTTCACATAGTTACTCCAAAACTAAGTGACTTTGATTGGCATGGGCCTTTGTTGAGTTGTTTGCTCTTTTAACATCCTGAAAGAAACCCTTCAGTTGTCGGACAAATGGACGGTCATTCTCTGACAGTACCACAGTTTGTCCCAATACCAAGGTTGAAAATTCCAAAGAAGACCAAGCTGCTTTTCCATGCAACCGAACATGTCGAGAATAGGGATTTGCGAGGTCGACACGTTTCTTTGTTGACCGAGGTGCCACTTGCATTTTTCATCATTCGCCCAAAGGCTGCTACAATGCCATCAAGTGTAGGCATCTCGTGAGACCACGCGCGTGTTGGTTGTTTTTCGGTATCACAAATAATGGTCTCTTAGAGGTTTGCAAGGGAGCCAGGGAGCCATAGGAAGCGTACGTAGAAAATGTCCAGTGCTTGGTGGTTCACTCAATGGCAGGGCTGGGAAAGTCCGGACACCCGAAAGCAACCCTCAAGGTACTAGGCAAGGGTCCCAACATTTTGCATCCAGGTCATCCAAGCACATACTATGAGGTGCATTGGTTAGTTAGGAGATGTTAGGAGCATGAATGCTTGTGCGCAAGGAACATGTTTTTCTTGAAGGACTTGCATGGATCATGCGAATGCATCACACCTGATGCATCCAATATACACAAAGCTATTTCAGTGACATCAGCGCTCAGCCCGCCGACGTGCCAGGTTCTGCCATCACGACCACACAAAGCCCAGCAGAGTCAAAGCCCCACCTTGCGACCTGAGAACCAACCAACCTAGAAGCGATGGCCTCCAACCTACTAGCGATGGCCTCCAACACAAGGGACAGGTCAGACAATTGGTGCTTTGGAAGTTCTCCAGCGGCCTTAGTGGTAAGTCACCCAGACCTGGTTACTTTTCAGCTGGTTGGTGAGAAGCAGGGCCACTTGCCCATCATATTTGGTCAAATATGGCGAGGCAAACGACATGCAGAACAAGACTGAGGTCAATCACTATCGGAACCTCTTGGTTTGTGTGGAGATTTGTCAGAGCCTGTATATATACATATATGTTATATGTTATCATATAATATATATATGTATAATGTCATTATATTTCCAATGAGTACAATTACAATGTGAGGACTCAGAGTCAGGCTTAGAAACAAGCTGCTGGAATCACATTGCTGAGCACAAAGGCGAAAAGTAGAAAGAAGAAGAAGACCGAAGATGATGGTCCACTGGCTCAGTCACATCATGTTATCCTTTTGCTTTATCCAGGTGCATGGCCGGCATGGGTTTGACATGTGCAAGTTTACTGTACTTTGCTTCACCTGGCCCGCAAAGCGCCTATGGCCCCCATTCTTTGTTCTTGGATCAGACTATTATTTCCATCGCAACACAGGATTCCATTTCGTATGGTAAAAGATAGTGTTTCGTGGCCAGGGGCAAAACACTGGTGCACACACGGTGTTTCACATCTACGAAATGTTTCTTTTCGAGTAACCACAATTGCCGGCCATAGTTGCAAATGTTATAAAGCATGGTCTTGGGACCTTTTTCTAACGACGATGTCCATTTAACCGAGGAGGTTAGATGGTGACATTCAGTTTCAAATTCGAGGGATGTTATGGGGTTGTCAAAAGCACATATTTGGGTCTTCAGCAGCAGTACTGTCAGTACTAACTTCACAACATCCAACAACTATATATTGATATATACGTAAGGTTTGGGCCCTCGAGGAACAAAAGGTCGTTGTTGAGGCCTGCATAGGTAGCACCATCCATAGATGCAAACACAACATCATGTGACAATCCTGTTAGTAGCGTCCTTGCTCCTAGTAGCGATGCCCTTTGCTCCTAGTAGCGTCCTTGCTCCTCACAGTTACTATTTTGACTCTTCCGCAAAGCACTGTGTTCATTGTGGTGAAGCTGGTATTTTGTCCTCTCAACCCCCTGCAAATACCAGAGGAAGACCGTCCCGGCGACGGCACTGAGGGTGGGACCGTTGTTTTCCCAAAACGTTGCCGACGTTGCCCACGATGTGAGGTGAAGCAAAGGAGGAGGCCTGGACTGTCGATCGAGATGGGATCAGGATCCGAGATGTCCTGAAAATTAAAGGTGCCTGAGACTTCGCAGGCAGTGCGAACAGCATGCCCCTTTGCCTTTTGAGGTTCCAGGTGATTGTCCTTGATTAGGAGATTGGCATGACACCTGCTACTGTAATTGAAGTTGACGGCTAACACCCTTCATAGAGAGTCTTTTCACGGAGCCGCTCGTAGTATTTGATTCCTCGTGTTTTCCTATGTTCTTTCATGTTCTTTCCAAATCTGGGCTGAACACCCACTTAGTGCACTGCTTCCTGCACGTCGGCAGGGTGGCAAGCAAAAGAAACTTGGAATGGATGATATGATTTCTGTGAGGGTTTGCAGGGTTTGCGAATGTGCTTCTTGAATACAACAGCCAGAAAGTTCAAATATTACATATTAATTACTACATATGTTTCTGCATTCTTGTCATTGACATGCCAGATCTACCACCGTTATTAGGTGGCTGGGTTAGTCCATTTCAATACCGGTTTGAACTCATCACATCTAAATACTCTTCGAGAGTATATACACGTTCATGTACATGAGACCAAACATGTGCCGAGAGCCATCATTCAGGCTTTGAGGGCTGTAGGGTTGGTGATTGTCCAACCTCAACAAACGCAAGGTGTGCCAGGGTCATGCTGTTGGGATGCACTTGCCAGGATGTTCAAGCTGAGTCAAGTTCATAAAGTGTGTTTAACTTTAACCTGACCCTGTGTTCGTACAGTCTCTCACTCACTGCCTGCCTGAGGAAAATGCGAGAAGGAGGAGGTCATTGTGGGTTAGACATGATAGACATTGGACCAAGTCAGCAAGTCACTGGAGTTGTTGAAACTACAAGACTGGTTGTAAGATGTTAAATCAGATTTGATTATGTGAGTCAGCAAGCATGTAATTTGGTGCATTTGATGCAATTGGTTCACCCTTGCTCTTGGCGAACGCGTACCTTGCTCTTGTCTCAGAACAGTAACTCTTCATTTGTTGGGTGATTTCATCATATTTCAATATATTTCATCTATATTCTTACGCGAACGAGCATGGTGTCCTCAGTTGCAAAGGCGATTCTGAATTTGCCAAGAGGAGAAGGCTGGCGTGCACATGTTCTAGATTGCTTCAGCTGAAAGAACAACAGTGGACGTCCATCTTAGCGGTCAGAGCTGTCCAGTTCAATTCTTACAAGCAAATTAAACATTTCCCGGGAGTTGAATGGGATTGAGACTCTTTAGATTTGGCGCTTGCCATTGATGTCATCCACGGGGTCAGTAGGCCATTCTGTTGAGTCTGCGGGGTCTTCAGTCACCACAAGACTGGAGAAATCCATTTGGACAACAAGAGGTTACAGAGTAGAAGTATTTGATCTATCTAGCCTCTGCAGGAATGGCATTCCAGCTCCAGGCAGTCCAGTAGTGGCCCCATCATTGGGATGTTGATGCGAGTAAAACTAGACGCCCCAAGCCAGCTATGATGATTCAGGTGCAATGATGTTCCTATTCGGATGTTGCCGCGGGGCAGACTTTTTCAACTTGGGAAAGAGAGCGAAGCAAGACAGAAGCGTCCTGCTTGGCCCACACTGTTGCAAAGTACCCTCGATAGCCTTCATAATATCATATCTTGAACAAAGACCTGGAGAGACCAATTGTATGATCAGAACCTCACAACCTCCCCTTCGAGTGATGGTTGGTGCGTTTGCGAGTGGGCAAGCGACCAAGGAACTTGACGAGCTTGGCAACAGCAAACCATGCTGGATTGCGTCCGGTGAGGCCATGCAGATACTTTTACCATGAGGCAAACTGGAGTAAGAGGATCTCTGATCATTTTGTGGGTCTTTGATTTCTCACAGGTTTCACTACAGCTTGGGTTATTTGGAGTAGAGGAATTCACAGAGGCCACCAGAAGCCTCTAGAACTTTTTGTCGTCCAAATTGAGGAATTGAGAGTAGACACATTATATATATATATACCCCCCATCCGAGGTCTACCTTTTTTATGCTTTTGACAGATGCAGATGGTTATGGACCAAAGTGTAGCTGTTATAAGAGACAGTTTGATAGATGCAAGTGAGCAAAGGAGACAGAAGCTGAAGGACAAACAATTGATTGGATAAGAGGACAAACATGTTGCAGCATTAAGTTAAAACGATGAAAACAACTTTCTAGGGAGCTTAGGGAAGAGAAATAGAAACCAATAACACTAATGTAAAATTAAAGGCGTGGACATTATTGCAGGGGAAGTTTTTGTTAAAATCATACTAGAGCAATAGCGCGCACAAGATTTGAGGTGGTAATATTTTTTGGACATGGGAAAGCACAGGCATTAATCCAGGTGGTGCCATTATTAAAGCCAAAAAGGGCATTTATTATTGCAGGGGGTTACTGTATATTATTCACGACTTCTAGTGTACTGGGTTGCCTCCTTGGTGGAATAGATGTTTGCAATGAACCGATTTAGTAAGTTGTGTTTTAAAAGAAAATTAATACATAACTCTAGAAATTCAAATCAGAAGGAAGCAAAAGGACTTCGAAAGGACATGAACAGGAATCAGAAGGAGTTCAAAAGGAAATCAATTGGACTCAAAATAGGAACTTACATGATTTCAGAATTTAAAACGTAATCATTCAAAAGCAATTTAATAATCTTTCAAAGGGGAATCACAAAGAATAACACGCAATTAGAAAGAAATCAATTGACAGGACATCAATACAATTTATATAACAGGACGTCATGTGAAATCACAAACATAAAAGGTAACCAACAATAATCACACGTAAGTTAAAAGACAATAGCAGTCAAAGAAATTTAAAAGGGAACTCCTTTGACATCAACAGTTTTGCAAAAGGACATCAACAAGACCCAAAGAGGAATTCAAAGGAATTTAAGAGTACATCAACATGAATAAATATGGAAAAAGGGACTTAAAATGCAGACGTCCCAAAACTAGGGACTTAAACTATTTTCAAAAAAATAAATGTATAAATCATAAAGAAAGTATAGGTTTGTGCAGCTTGAGAAAGCCACATATATACTTTGAAAGGAGAATGCACAGTATTTAAAAGGAACATATATATATATATAGAGATCCTGTAATATACAGACGCTTTGGGGCCCAACATGTAAAAATATTGTACATACTTGGTTCTCCCATGCAAACTATTTCCTTAAGAAAGCTCGATATATCCTTAGAAAGGAACATGAAAAGGATTAAAAGCAACATGTTTGAAGTATTTATATATTGTGAGGCAATACATCTATACATATTAATTTCTGGAAACAAATTAGGTGTTGTGTAAATAGAAAAAACTAGTTTTGGAAAACCACTAGTTTGTTGGGACCTGGATTGAAGATTCAAGATTGACGATTGCAAGAAACATCTAGGCATCTTCAATCTTGAATCGTCAATTCTTTTCAAACGTGTTTATCTCTAATCTATGCAATATATATATATATATTGTACCCCCCGCACATCTGACACCAATGTATTAAAAACACGTGAAAACGCTAGATCTTTGGGGGGGCATGGTATGTATGTATGTATGTAAGTAATGTAATGTATGTATAGGCCCAAACACTGAACCTAAGACACGTTCAAGTAACGCTCTGCAGGAAAGCTATCCCTATCGGATCTCGTAAGAGCCTCAGGATGAGAAGAAATTGCGACGGTACAACCGAATCCGCAGAAGAAATTGAACACCAGAGCGTGTCCAGAAGAACTTGCTGTGGTGAGAGTAGATGTTTTCACACATTCGGAAAACAAGAGTTTCACTCAGTTTCATTGCATCACATGAACATCAAGCAGTACATTTACTATGTCCACCATGCAACTCCCCCCCAACAGCATCATGTGTTTATTCAGCGAGCTTCCAGGTTGTAGAGAAATCCAAACTCCCCTTGGCAACAAGGAGCCAGTAAGATGGTCAATGCACAGCTTTGCTTAAGGACAGCATGTTTTGAGAAACCGAAAGGATTGAGGCCCCAAGTTGTGCTTTGAGCTGGCATGCTTGGATTTTTAAGGCGCCCACCGCCCTATGCAGGCCGCGTGGGCTGCTGCGTGCACTTGAGGCTTCAAGTTTGAAGACCTCTTAGCCCCCTGCAGTATAGCGGTGTGATGCGGTGTGTTATTGAGACCAGAACTCCAAAGGAAAGATTTGGGCGTGCAGTGTCTCATGCAACCTGGAACTGGCGGCCACCTTTCACCAGGCGTGGACCCTTATGCCTGGCGCCCTCCCAGCAGGCAGGGCTGAGAAGAATGCAACTCAGTGCAAAGCCGAGGAGACATTGATTTTCAGCTCTATGCGGCGATTCTTGAGAGAAGGTAGAGATCTGTCGCAGTCATACCGTAAATCATGTACACGGTAATCCTGGGTCAGAGCCGGTGGGCGGAAGTTTCAAAAAGATAAACTACAGACGTGCGATGTGATTCATTGATGTGAATCAGTGATGGCTTGCGGTGTGATGGAAGGTCATGCGATGAGGTATGATGTGATGGCTCCCAATGCTGTGATGTCTCTGTTTGAAGTGTGTTGCAGCTGCTGGTTCGTGTGTTGAAGTTTATTGTGATGCTTTGCCAGTGAATGAGTAGGTGAGTGGATGGGTGGGTGGGCGAGTGAGTGCGTGAGTCAGTGAGTGAGTGACGATTCTCCACTCCCGTCCGGCAGAGTCAGGGCCAACCTGCAACCAGAATTCGCTTCGGAAATGTCCCGCAAGCGTCACTCTTAAACACTACCGTTCTGCTGCCCCGTGACGCGCGCACGATCATGCGCACGCACACTCCCAATATGATCAAGAAAGTTCAACGTAATTTTTTGATTGATTCGATGACCCCCTCAAGGCCACATGAATTTGCATAGGAAAATAGGACACTGCAACAGCTTCCCCAAAAGTGTTCCCTCCAAAGGGTCATGGCCTGACCAGGTAGCGCAAGGGCAGCATCTGGCACTAGTAGTGGCTTCTCTAACTTGGAAGATTCTCTTCGAATTTCCTTTGATCACATGTAGCCAGATCTTGCTGAGAATTGACCCTCCCTGCAAAGCACAACAAATGATTCAATTATTTGGGAAGCTTATCATTACAAACAATTTTTGTAGTACAGAAAGAAGGAATGGGAATTTCATTATGTGACAGGGATATGCTTCCACCTCGTGATTACTATTCATAATCCAAATATTAAATAAAAATGCACTGAAATATACAGAATTAAATCATTCCAACAATATACGGTAATCTATCGAACATGTTATTGAGGATTGCTTTAAATTGTTCGTAAATATATTTTCTTGAATTTGTGAGAACGATATTTGTTTTATTCGCGAAAGATTTAGGACAGACTTGTTGTAATTTATATTCATAGTATTATGTATATATGTCTATATATATGTGTGTATATTTGATTTATGTATTTTTTAAGGTATTGATGTTCGATATAAGTGTTATTTCCAATTTAAACCGACGGGCGTTGCCATTTCCTTAGATGACGCTATGTAATTCTTTCTTTTGATGTACCCTTTTCTCGTGATAGTATTGGTTTCACTGTCCATATTGGAGACCTTAGTCCTAAATCTGAGGACCATGGCCTAGGATCCTTTTTCTTTAGCAATAAGGGCCGTGATTGGCACGAGGGTTTTTGTTTGTTCTGCACTAGACAGGGAGAGTGTCTTCGCATCGACAATCGATTTACGACTTTCCACCGGCACGAAAAACAATGAGGTCTGGGCACGTTTAGGCCCCGGCCTAGTTTAGTCCTCATCTAGATGCAAGCGGATTAAGAGATCTTGGTATAGAGCATGCCGCCGAACCGTTCGAGATGGACACAAAGAATACCATGGTAAAACTCTGTGGGCGAAAGAGATCCCTTGGAAATTTCGCATGTCTTTAGAAGTCAAACAGAGCAGACTAATTTTGCTACCGCCTGGTACGTCCTCACCTCCTGCTTTACAGGTGTTCAGCTGGAATGCAGGCAATGGTTTGCATTATGATGAATGGATACAATGGTGTAGCCAATGTGACTTCGACATACTACTCATTCAGGAGACGGGATGGAAATTCTGCAACTAGTGGCAAACACCACAATGGATTTGCATTTACAATGCTTATGGCCGCGCCTCTCAACTACTGATGCTGCGTAAAGCTGTAATCAAGATGGACCAGGTTGCCTTTCATGCTTTGGTGCCTGGACGCCTCTTGCCCCTTAGATTAGACATGCCCAGAACCCATGACTTTTTCTGTGTGTATCAGTATGGCTGGACATCCGCCCGAGCTCGACCTGATTTGTTAGCAGACCGGAAGCGCATCTGGGATCTCCTTGCTGATGGCATACGCCATATACCAAAGAGCCACATGATGCTTGTGGCCGGAGATTTTAACACTCCACTGACGGCTGCAGTGCCTCATGTATGCACGCCTGACAAGAAGTTTGCCAAGGCCCCACAGAGTGATCGAATGTTTCTCCAGGAGTTAATATCTGAATTACGTCTTGTTGCACCTCACTGTAAACAAGCATTTCGTAATACGTTTGTTCATGGCACGCATGCTAGCCGAATTGACTACATGTTCCTTCGTGAACATCAACTCAGATGGAAACAAATGAATCCTGTTCTCTCTGAGAATGTTGCCGCCGCACAGTGTGAAAGTGGTGGCTGCAGCTCTGCAAAATTTCCACATACTTTGCAAGGCTGGAGCTTGCAGCCGCCTCAGCCTCTTTGAGTTGTTGCCTGGATGCCACTGTTCCTACTGGAGTTGGCTGCCTCATTCGTTCCTCTGCGTTCTTGTCCAAGAAGAGTTTGAAGAACTTCACGTATTGCAATGATAATGCGTCATCTGGGTAGGACAGATGCTGCTTCATGGCTTGCCAGTGTGCGTCCAGATCTGAAAAGTAATTGCTACTTGCGTTTTCGACCTGCTCGTGCGCTGCTGTCAAATCTTTCCGCAAGGCAGGGAGCAAGACTTTGTCATATTTGTGACAAAAAGTGCATACGTCTGTGCGGCACTTCAAACGCACAAAATTGCCATGGTGGGCCTTTAGGTGCTTATACCACACAGGCCTGCTCATAAGCGCTTGCATTGCCTCGCTACGCGCCCACAACCTGCTTCGAGAGCCTTTGAGGTTGTAGACAGGCAGGACTTGTCCCTTGCACTTCATGAGCTTGCTGGTCACTGTTGTGTTCTCAAGCAAATAGATACGAACCTTGTCTGCAATGGCCTTGGAGTGAATTTTGCTTTTCCGCCCAGGCCTTTGCTTCGCCACATTCTTCTTGACGCGGCCCCACAACCGGAAGCCTGGAACTCTGACCAGCTGCCTGGCTTTGCTCCGCCCTCCAATGCAACTCTGCGCGGCTTTGGCGATTACTTCTTCAAGGGCTGGTTCTCCCTTGCTCTGCTCGGCAACATGTTTCGCAAAACTTGACAGATGATTCTGAAGTTCTTCCTTGGAGACACTTCTCTTGATGCAGCGAACCAAACCTTCAGCTCCGATCTTTTCACGAATCTCTACCAATAAAGTTGCCAACTTGTTGCCCGCATACTCCTCTACATTCTTGGTGTTGGCCACAGGTTTCGGTGGCATGGCATCCGCTACCAAAGAAGCCACACCAAAACAACCAGGGATGTGGTACGGGTGGGAAACTGTGTGGAGGTGCGTGATTCGGGTATGAATCGGGTGTGATTCGGGATGGCCATTACATTGTCAAAAAAGGACACCTAGGCATCACGTCACCATGTTTTTGCTTACTTGCCCGAGCAAAAGAAATTCTTATCACTGCTTGCAACAAACAAGTTATGAGGGTTGGTAATAAGCGTCTCATCCTTAAGCTACAAACAAGTGCTAGGTGGGTCGAATATACTGGAGATTGGGGAGTCTGCGGCGGAGCATCAACCTAGCAGGTTCGTGGTAGCTAATTTATGTATTAAGCCTCACAGAGGTAGCTAGTTCATGTTCGTGGTAGGTAGTTCATGTACGTGGTAGCTGGCATGGAGGTGCAAGCTTATATTTTTCTCCAGCCTCTAGTCATCAGATTAGACGTCTTTAAGATGCGGCCTCCAGGAAATTGCATCATGGAAAGGAAAACTTTCAATTTTCTTTCTTTAGCTCTTTTTACCGGAATGCAATAGATTTAGTTTTGATATATTCGAGCTGGATCTTGCTAAACTTGTCTAAGCTTATGGAATCCTGGGTGTATTTGCGAGTAAAGAATTGTAAACGATGTTGGCACCATCCGCATTTTCTGCTATGGTGTTTCTTTTTGCTTTAGTTGGCCTTTTAATTAATTCTTAAATTTGGCATAAATTACATTTTTTAAATAATAATATAAAAAATATTTTTTTTACAAATTACAATTTAGAAACTGTATAGAAACGATATTAAAAATGATTTATTCGGGCATATTCGTTTAAACACGCACGCAATTTTGTTACACGTAATTTTGTTAATGATGTCCGTTATCGGTGGTGCGAACTCATAACTTCTTGATTCGGTCGGCGGCATGCTTCGCACGTAATTATTTATTTTAATCGGCGTATGATTGTCCATTTTAGTCGGATTAGTTGTTTAATTAAATAGGTCCGTTATATGCACGGCCTTATTTTCTGATTTTTCTTATTAAAACAAGGATGATATTAAGTAACACATATAAATTTAATAAGGATTTCTATTGAATTTTGAATTATGGGATTGGATTAATATTTACACCTCATTCTTTTATTTTGCGTGTTTGGATTTAAATTAAGCATTTCCGTACTTTGTTTTTGCGAAGCTTGCATAGAAATTTTAGCTTTTTAAAATTACCATCGTTCTTTTGGTTAAGGTCTAATAGCTTTTTCGCTGCTTTTTTTGAAGAACGAATGGCGATTTTTTGATTCTTCTTCCTAAGGGAGAGCATATGGTAGTATTGGTATCCCTGGGATTAGCCTTTGCTCTTCCCACAAGAAAATAGACATTTTGGGTCAAAAGAATTGCCTATGGATGATAGGCTTGCAACCAATTACGCTTGGAGGTCGTATGAAGGGGCCTAGCTTCCGAGCAGTTTGAAATAGATTCGCTTGGCGCTAGGAGTTGTTCTCCACATTTTTGTATGGGATTCTAGTTTTGTTGGTTGCTATCCCGTCCGACTCCTCGTCCTCCTCGTCCTCCTCGTCCTCTTCTTCGCTCCTTCTTTCCCACTTATTTACTCCACTCATTCCACTCATTCTATTCATTCCACTCACTCCACTCACTCCACTCACTCCACTCACTCCACTCACTCCACCCACTCACTCCACCCACTCATTCCACCCACTCACTCCACCCACTCATTCCACTCACTTACTCCACTCACTCCACTCACTTACTCCACTCACCTCACTCACTTACTCACTCAGTCAGTCACTCACTCACTCCACTTACTCACTCACTCACAGGCGCAGTACCTAGATCCGCCAGAAGGGGCTGCGGCGCGGGTTGTCGCCACTGGTCTCGCTGGCTGTCTTCGTAGTAGGCGCAATACCCAGAGCCTCCAGAAGGGGTTGCGGCGCGCGTCGTCGCCGCTGGTGTTGCTGGCTGTCTTCCTTGTGGCAACCGCAGTACCCAGAGCCTCCAGAAGGGGTTGCGGCGCGGGTTGTCGCCGGTGGTGCGCTGGCTATCTTCGTGATAGGTGCAGTACCCAGAGCCTGCAGAAGGGGCTGCGGCGCGCGTTGTCGCCGCTGGTTGTCGTCCTTGTGGCAGGCGCAATACCCAGAGCCTCCAGAAGGGGCT